GTATTTTTAGATTGTTTCCAAATTTGAGCTATTACAGACAAGGCTGTTATAAACATTCTTGGACATATAATTTGGTGCCCAGTATTCTTTTGTTGTCATGCCCAAGGAGTGGAATTTCTAGGACGTAACCACACATATCTTCATACTAGATAAATATTCATGTAATACTTAAAACCAAGTAATATTAACTTGTATATAAGTAGCTCTATATGCTACTAGGCAAGTCGAAATATTTTTTAAAATGTTTTAAATTTATACATCCAGCAAGAGTGAATGCTATTCACTCCTGTTTCTATTTCTGTTTCTAGAAATAGGAGCACTTCTATCTTTTTATATGCTTGACATACTTGGAATTATCAGACTACCTCACTTTCTGTTTCTCTATTTATTCTTGCTTTGGGAGTTTCTATTCTCTTGTTTGTTCTTTCACCATGGATATTAATTCTGACCTATTGTAATTCACTAATTCTTTCTTCATCTGTTTCTTATCTGCTAATGACTGGGTCATGTGTTAACTTTGGCCACTGTCTTTTCTAATTCTCAAATTTGTTTAGTTCTTTTTCAACTCTGTAACAGCACTTTTTGTAGTTTCTAGTTTCCTGACCAAAAAACATTGCCCTTCATTTCTTCAAACACTAACATCATATTTGTAATATGCATCTGAAAATTCTAATATCTAAATTATTGAGAGATCTATTTCTGTTCTTTGTTTTTCTGCAGGTTCTATTTTTGAAGAATTATTAGGTTGGTACACAAGTACCTGAGGTTTCTGCCACTAATTTTAATGGCAAGCACTGCAGTTACTTTTACACCAGTCTAATATTTATTTTCACCACATTACTTTAATTTTTGTTTTGGACATTGTATTCAAAAAGTTATTTTGAAAGAATCAGGTTATATCTAAAGTAATGATACTTTTTTCTAGAGAAGATTGTGTTTTTCTCTGTCAGGAGCCTCTCCCAGTGTACCACCATAAGTTGTGTTGAAATTTGAGATAAACTATGTAGTCCTGAATTTTAATCCATAGGTGGAAGAAAATTGAGCTTCAAGACAGTAAGCTTCAAGTAAGGCAGATTATGATGCCTCCTTCTGCTGTAACATATTGTGTGACTTTGAGTTGAGATTCTTCCTAAGTTTTCTCCTCTATTAAAAAAGTGCATAGCTGTAACCCCCAAAATCGGTATTTTCCTTTTCTTTCTTTCTTTTTCTTTTTCTTTTTTTTTTTTTTTTTACAGTTTCTACTGTATTTCTTTGTTGTCCTGTCAGTACCAGTTATGGTGTGTGTTGCTTTTTCCTTCTTTATATATATGTTTTTGAGCACACTGATTGAATATATGCCCCACTAATAGCGTATAATTATTTTGAGGATAATATCCATGACTTTTTACCATGTCTCACACTATATTGTGTAGTAGCTAGCTGCTCAGTGAATGTTAAATGGATAAGTTAAAGAATGAATAAATTTTGGAGGTAGGTACACAGATAAAAGTGAACAAAACAAACTAAGTATTACCACAGAGAAGGAACAAGTATCTTTTCTGTTATAGTTCCCACACAAAGCTTCAGCTAAATTCCCTTTGCTATGTTTACCTCTCCAATATATTGGCTGGTTGTGCTCATAGAGTATTAGTCTGAGTTACAATTTATGAGTAATGGTCCAAATCTGTAATAGAACTTAAAAATAAAGCTTTAAAAACATTGATCCAGATGAAGAATGATAGGATGAAATAAAAAATTATTTAAGGCATAAAATTTAAAAGGCATGTTCATCAATAATTCATTTTAAAAGTACCCTTAGCATAACCATTTCTATTCTGTATCGTTACCCAATTATAGGTGACATTGCTAGGAACAGATTTTGACAATAGACTTGTACAAGAGATCTGTTTGCCTAGAGAGTTACTTATAAAGGTAGAATTAAAATCATTTCATGAAAGAAATTTAACATACCAAAGAAAGTATAACCATTTAGAATACTAAATTGGCCTAGAGGGTTAGGAGTTAAAAATGAAAAAGAATTAATAATAATTTTTTTAACAACATATACATTGAGACAGTATTTTTGCCACATCTGTCATTTACCTATGCAATACTTAGGCTCATAATTTTTTAGTATTACATCAAAGAGTGTTATTCAACTTCCTGGTGATTTAAACTGAAAAACATAGCTGATTTTTTTCAGCTTTGAAGGTCCTGAAAAATAAAGAATGCATATAACTTTCAATTATTGGTAGAAGAGCCAGGAAAATAATATCTTCCATGAATCCTCTTAAAATTAGTTTGCTGATTGATAGATGCTCAAAATCTAGAAATGAATGGGTTGCATATAAGAAAATCAGTACATGCTTTTTCTTGCCTTCATATATCACAATACAGGCATTTGAGACTGTATTAATTATAGAACTTTATGATCTTATTTATATGCTCTGTGAATTTGATCTTTATTTTAGAATTTCTTTAATCCATTCTGATTCTAATCATCTCAGGACCAACTTTAGTGTATTTGTATAATACATAGTCATTGGCTAGGTCTATATGTTGTCCAAACAACCAAATGACATGTAGCAAATTCTGCCAATTGCCTAAAGTTTTGTTATGTACTTTAAATATATGAATATTTGAAATATCAAGATGTGTTGTATTTTATAATTAATATTAAAGGATTTCTTGTTCACTTTTCACTTGTTTTATGATGTCATTTATATTAAACAAGTCAGTATTATTAGAAATTTGATTCATTCTGAAAACCTCTCATCTACGGATCTAATGATCTTTAGTATTCTTTAATATAAACTACTGCTATAACAGGAAAAAACTCAGTAGCTTACCAAAAAAAGGTGGAAATGTCTTTCTTTCTCTTTCTCTCTCCTTCCTTTCTGTCTCTTTCTCTCTCTCTCTCTCCCTTCCTTCCTTCCCTCCCACCCTCTCTCCCTTCTTTCTTCTTTCTTTCCTTTCCTCTTTTTTTCTTCTTTCTTTCTTTCTTTTCTTTTTCTTTCTTTCTCTTCTTTCTTTCCTTCCTTTCTTTCTTTTTTCCTTCCTTCCTTTCTTTCTTTCTTTCTTTCTTTCTTTCTTTCTTTCTTTCTTTCTTTCTTTCTTTCT